TCGCTGAGGAAGACGAAACGTTGCCGAAAGGTTAGCGGTTAGCGTAGTTTTTCTTGACTTCTCGGAAAACGTTTCGTCTTCCTCAGCGACAAAAATAAAAATGGATAATTGGGCTCTGTTATACTCTGGAATATAGTGTTGGCTACATTTCAAGACCAACCCGAGATTTCTAGCACGCAAAATAGGGAAGAAATCTTGAAATTACGCAATGCTACGACGACAAAATTCGATTTAGATGAAAGGAAGAAAAGAAAAGCGGTGTTTCTTCAGTGTTTGAAAAAATTCTGACTGATCAACACACATGTGGACAATTTTTGCAAAAAATAATGATGAATTAGAAACACTGATATACGGCGATCCAAATGCAGTTCATTCCCAGGATTGTATTGAACCATTCATGCAAGTCATTGATGTTTTTCAGTTTGATATTGATAAATGTTTAAATGATGATATAATTCTAAATGATAATGATAAGATCGAACTTGATAAAGTCGATGAATTATAGCATTCATCTGATTCTATTATTCATCAATCACCTTTCAATATTGAAATGAGAAAACAAGTACCAATGATGAATGATATTCTTGATAAATGCAAAAAAAATTTGGAAATATATCCAATCCTAATTTTTCTAAACCGATCATGTTATTATTTTATAGATGGTTTGGATATTTGCTACTGTGGACATGTCTACTATCTGATTTTGAGGAAAGATGAGAAGTTTTAGCATTTTTCTAGTGACATCAAAGTTATTCACGAACTTCAAACCTTTTTAGATATGCTAAAAACAGCCCCGTGACAGTAACGGACACAACTCTGGGTCACGGCAGATTATCAAATGCCGTGGCTAAGAGTTACTTTAAAATTATAAAAGAGAGTATTCTAAAGAAGAAAACTCTTTTAAGATCATCAGATGCAGTTCTTAAAATACATCTTAGTACAATGGCTCGTTTGAAGGCTGGGCAATTATATTCTATTCTGGACTTATATCAGATTTTGTCGTTATCAGTTAGTGCTTAAACCTTTAAGGATATTCGTAAACTACGCGAACATCCCTCACCAGACCGTAAACTATATAAAACGACAGATCTCTACGCGCTGACCCTAATAACATTCATCAGGAGAGGTAATAATCCCTTTTAACAACTGAAGAACAAAAGCACATCTAATGCACATAAAAGAACTTTGTACCAACTTACGCTAATGTTCTACATGCTTCACGAACTACTGGTGCACGTAAATCTGTTAAGGCTTCACTTAATGGTTTATCGAGTTGAGATAATTTCTTTAAAAATCCATTATACTTATTTGCATCTGAAACTGTGATTGAACGTAATTGGTTTAACTAAATGACTATTTTATATCTCTTTGGACTAGTTCAGTCTGAGTTTGGTCTGAAGAAATGTTTGATCTCATGGCCTAGAGCCGTTACTCCAATCCAAAATAGGACTGAAATTTTTCCCTTCAGCCAAGATTGTCTTAATCGAAGTCTGGTCGTAGTTCATTTTCGGACGAAGAAACATAAACCTGTTTCTCAAAAAGTTGAAATCTTTTTCTTTAGCTGGCTATCTAAGGACTTCTGCTGCGTATAGCCTAGCTAAACATGTTGACTATGCAAGATCTCAAAATAAAAATGCACTAAAGTGAGAAATGCACCTAATGGTTGAAGTCACAACTGTCAGTATCCTCAGTGTAAGATCGCTTTGCCGTTAGCGACTTTCAGGATGTAGCGACGATCAGTTCGGGTCTGTTGGATGCATAGAGGATTGAGCTCAGCCATTCCGCCTCGTTCACAGGATGCTAGATTGACTCTAGCAACGAACTGATATTAGCGTCTAGTATTTACGAATACGCATTCTCTGAAGGTCCAAGCGTGAATGTTTCCTTCACATACGGTAAACGTTACCTTATTAGTAATAGTCACACGTGAATCAGAAAACTTCGATCGCTCTCCCTTTTATTTTGCGATCAAATATCCACAGTATATTATAGTTCTTTTAGTAATTATGTGGATAGGCCAAAAAAATCAGTAGCGAAAGTTCAACCATTTAGGGAGCATTTCAAAATTCGTGCCGTTCTCTCTGCCGCTCTGCCGTGGCACAACGGATTTATTTTAATAACATTTCGATATATTATCGGTTTCTTTTGATGTATGTATTTGAAACGCGGAAGAATGCTTTCGTACCTTTTCCTAGACACATTGATTAAAATTCGAGAAAGAACAAAAGAATGAAGTGTCATTCACTCACTGTATGGTTTGGTATCCTTGTGGATTTCGTGTCAGATTGTTCCCATTGTGGGCAATTTTGCCATCGTTTCTTTCGATCGGTTCCACTTGCCTAGAAACCTTCATCCAATCCCCAGGCGCTGGTTCGTAAAAGAGCTCAGAAAAATGAAATATTCCTCACTTCATGGTTTAGTGATCTCCTAGATTTGTTACCAGATTGCCATGATTGAGAGTATGTTTGCCAGTGTTTTTCACTGTCGGTGTCCTCCTCCTATAAACCTTCACCCAATCTTCGCCTTCTGCCATTACTATTTCACTCGTTGAATGAGACATGTCGGCGAGCAGTCGTATAAAAATATAACCAAGTGAGTAAAAGCAAATTGCTCCAATTGCGCGATTATTTTGCAACCAAACCAATCATTTCTCAAACAAATGACTCATTTTACAATAGAGATGAGTGAAACAGTAGTCACTTTTGTCATTCTGTCACTCGCACGAGGCGAACACAGAAGAAAAATCTTTCGTTTTTTATCCACGCAACGCCATATATCAAGGATAGATAATGAAAGACGATTTTGCTCTTGCGTTTGCCGCGTGCGTATGACAGAACAATAAAAGTCACTCGCGGTGAGTGACTGTTATTTCTCTCATCCTTAAACCCCCCCCCCCCCAAATAGACGGCCACCCTATATTAGAAGGCCACCCCCTGTATAAGGCCATGTCCGAGCAAAAGTTCAAACGCCCTATTAGA